CTGCCTTTCCAACATCCTAGCGTCCAGGGCGCCCCCGGCCCTTCTTGGACTTCTTGGCCCCTGAGGGTGGCCGGATGGGGAGTGGGGCTGTACTTGAAGGCAATGGGGGCGGGGGCAAGAGGGGCGGAAGAGGCGGCTCCACTGGCTCCGGTGGGCCGGGGCTAGGCCGGAACCCCTCAAAGGGGGAGAACTTCAGGGGGCTGTGGAGAAACCCAGGCAAAGTCAGGGGCTCAGGGGCCCAGCCAGGGCCCACCCCACTGGCTGGCATCCGGACCCAGGACACAGCCCTCTGCAGGCAGTAGCTGTTAGATTCCTGGGGCCTGGCCTCCCATGCCCAGGGCTTGCCCCTCTACGCCGGTACCTGATGGGGGTCCGGGGACTACTGTTGAGGCGCCTCGGGGAGCGCAGCTTGGGCTGGAAGGAGAAGGCCTCTTTGGTGCTGTCCAGGACAGAGGGTGCTACATACGTGAAGCCCTGCGTGGAGGGAGGGGCCAGCTCAGCATTAAGAGTCAGCCTCAAGCCCCATCCAGCCCTGCCAGCCTAGCTCCCGACTCACCAAGAAGGCCTGGTTAGCGCTCTCGCTGAGCGCTGAGTCATCTGGGCTGTCCACCGGTGTCTGCCGTGTGAAACGGCTATCAAATTGGCTCACATCCTCCTCCGACTGCTGTGGGCCAACCATGGGGCCAGGGTCAGGGCATCCGGGACGGGTCCTCAGCCCACCCCCACCCCTGGCCACCCACTCACCAGGCAAGGCCTGAAGGGTGGGTCCACGCGCCGGGCCAGGAGCTCATCCCAGCTGATGTGCCGGAAGAAAGGGTGTCTCTGTGGATGGAGCATCCCAGACACGCCCCCTCCAGGTCAGGCCCCGCCCTCCACCGGCTGCCCTGGGCCCAGGCCCCTGCCCCTTCACGTGGTGGCCCCTGGCCCACCTGCACATCAGCCGAGTCCCCTGGGCCACCCCCGATCCGTTGGCTGGGATTCCGCTTCAGAAACTGGGGACAAGGGCCGAGGTCAGGCAGTGTGGTATCCTGCCCGTCCATCCCAGGTCTGGCAGGGGCAGGGCTGGGCAGGGAGATGCCCACGCACTGCCAAGGTCTGGTGTCTTGAAGAAGCCTTCACACAACGCTGAGCACTGTTGGGAGTCCAGCTCCATACCCAGGTGGGGCACCAACAGGGTGAACCCGCTCCCATCGCCCACCGGCCTCTAAGGGGACATCTCAGGAAGAGAGCTCTTGAGAATGTTCTGCTGACCGGGACCTCCCTCCTGGTGCCTCCTCCACCAGGAAGGCAGGGGCTGGGTGAGGCCGGAGAAGGGCAGAAGTCAGCTCACCTTTTTGACGAGGTCCCGAGCGTCGGGAGTGAGGTAGGCAGGCAGCACCAGCTTGCCCTTGATGATCTTGTCCATGGTCTTCTTGCGGTTCTCCGCGGTGAAGGGTGGCTGCAGGAGGCGGGGCAGAGCAGCCTTGTGGGCCTCCGGCCAGGCCCTGCCACTGTCACTGCCCAGCGCCCACGCCGTATCCTCCCCACCCCCACCCCACTCCACGCCCCACCCAGCAGTAGGGCTGGACTTGCCGATCCAGTGAGCATGTCGTACATCAGAGCCCCCAGGCTCCACCAGTCCACAGCCCGGTTGTGGCCACTGCGCACCAGAATCTCGGGGGCCCTGGGCCGGGTGGAAGGCTTGGTCAGGCCAGGCCCCTGTGGCTTGCCCCGCCCACTCTAGCCCCAGCCCCTGCCAGCTGCCCTTACATGTACTCGATGGTGCCACAGAAGGTGTGGGTGATGGCATCCTCGTGAATCGATTGCTTGCAGAGCCCGAAGTCAGTCAGCTTGATGTGGCCTGAGAAGGTTTAGGGCGGGTTCAGGCCCCTGGGGCTCCCCCACCCGGCCAGCTCCTGGGCCCCGAGCAGCTGCAGGGTGTGCCCGCCTGCCTCACCCTGGTTGTTGAGCATAATGTTCTCAGGCTTGAGGTCCCGGTAGATGATGCCCTGGGAGTGCAGGTGGCCAAGGGCCAGCGTGATCTCAGCCAGGTAGAAGCTGGGAGGGGAGAGTAAGTGAAGGCCAGGGTAGGGGCGGGCCCTGGGCACCCGGGAGCCCCAGGGGCGGAGGGCAGGAGGCAGGCAGCACACCTACCAGGCTGTGTCCTCCAGGAAGATGCCTTCTCGCTCCAGATGGGTGAAGAGCTCACCGCCTGCCACACAAACACACCAGGGGCTCTGGGCTGGGAGCACGACCCTTTTCTCTCTGAGTCTGGTTTCTTGGGGGGCAGGGGGCACAGAAGTCCTGCCCTCCCTGCCTCACATGGTGGCCGTGGGGGTTCAGTTCAATTCAGCAAGCATCGACCAATGCCTGCTCTGTGCCCGGCCCTGGATGGTGGGTGAAGCCGGGGACACGGAGATGAAGAGACCCAGCCACTGCCCTCAGGACATTCGGGCAGAGAGGAAAAAGGCACACCAGACCAAGAGCTTCACCCCAAACAGCACTGGCAGACTGGGGGGCAGGGGCATGACCAACTTCATCCCAACGCCAGGGAGCAGAGTCTGCTGGGCTCAGAAAGGGTGCTGCGGTGGCAGGTGGTCCTCATGGGAGTCTGAGACAGGTGGGAGGGATAGGGACCCTGCTCTGTCTGAGCAGAGAGGGGCAGCAGTAAGAACCAGCTTGAGGGGGGGATACAGCATGGGGTGAGCTGCAGGCCTGGAGCCCAGATGAAAAACCACTGCAGATTCCACGCCTCCTTAGGAGGAGGGAGGGCACTGCCAAGAAGGAGCCCCCTGGGTTGGGCCCTGGCCCAAAGCAGGACCGGATGAAAAGGGGAACAGAAAGTACAGAAGCAACTGATAGAGAAAAACCCCACTCCCTGGAGCCGGCCCCGTCCCCAACACAGGGGAGGAACACGATAAACACTGGACAGATGTTTGCTGAGTAAATGGAGATGATGAATGGATATAGCTAGGGATCCACTCTACCCGCAGCACCCCCACCCTCTCAGAGCCTCCCCAAGCCCCCCCCTGTGAGTGTCCACTTCCTGCCTGACGCACCCCCACCACCGGCAGACTCGGTGGTCCCCACTCCTACCACTGAGGCACTCAAGGATGAGGTAGAGCTTGCCGCCCGTCTGGAAGGCATAGGCCAGTTCCACAATGAAGGGGTGCTTCACAGACTCCAGAATGTTCCGCTCCGCCCGAGTGTGCGCTGTGTCCTTGGCGTTGCGCACGATTT